AGCGCCCGGACACTGGGCTATCACGGCGCAATAGTAACAATAGTGAAGCATATAATTTCCACCACATACAAAAATTCAATGAATTCAACTGGTTGTGAAATTGATGATATAAGTGAATTTAAATCCTAGCTGAGAAAATAATTCTTAGGCAAAAGTAACCCAACTATACAAAAAGATTTAATCTCATAATTACCAATAAAATCAAAAGTACACACATGTTTTACTTACGTAATTTGTAACCTTTCATAGCATATACGTCATATATAATACCAAATCAAAACCAATGACCAAACGACCAACACCTCAATATTCTTCATCACAATAGACTTGATATTTCGCGATATCGCGAACCGCATCACAAATTAGAATCATGACATTTTACATAATATAAGTCTTGACCTTATGACTTTTCGTAAAATAATTCATTAAAATAACGTCGGAATGGTATTATTATAATCGACGGGGTGTATTATTAGTGTAAGGTGCACTTTGACGTCTGTCAAAGTTGTCTGATGCGTCGTCACGTACCCAATGCCACACGTATTCCATTATTTATACGACATATTGTTTAAACGTGATCTTATGAGAATGTTTGATGGAATTTTTTTTATTAACTTTAAGGAAATAATATTATCATACGTACACTTTGTTAATTTTCGACGATTATTCATCATACATTGTTATAAATCATTTCGTGGGACATAGTATTGATTAAAAGTTTATCTCACATCTTTTATCATAATATTATAAAATGTAATACCTTTAAACGAGCAATTCTTTTATATATACAGCGTGTCGTTACCACCGCGACAATAAATGAACACACATATACAGGATAACTTTTTAAAATTGCATTAAACATTTACATTCTTTAAACATCAATATTTACCGAGTTATTAAATTTTCCAAAACAAACAATTTTAGAACACCCTTACGTATAAAACTGTAACGTAAAGTTCATTTGTAGAGGTCATAAAACATATGAATGGGTTGAATGAATTTAAAAGAGACAAAACATACTGTTAGAAGGAGGGGCTTGTAATGCAACGCTGTGGCGCGAGTTGTATAGGATGTTACAAATTTTGTTTCTTTTTTACTTAATTAGTTTGTTTGAAAAATATTTTTTTTATTTATGGATTTCGTTTAACGTTAATATTTTTTTATGATTATTGGCAAGTAGCGTTAGATGTGTGTTCATGTATTGTCGCGATGGTAACGACACGCTGTATATGTGTGTGTGTGTGTGTGTGTGTGTGTGTGTGTGTGTGTGTGTGTATATATATATAAATCTATATATATCTGTATATATATATATATATATAGCTAGGTTTCATTTTTAGAAAATATCATTTTATCCCTGTTTTCAAGGAATGAAAAAATGAAAAATATCTTTTGAACATGACGGTAAATTTCGCCGAAAAATATCCGGTCGGTAGTCGGGCGGCCCCGAAACAAATGGCTGCGGTTCGTGTCACGATTATTTACACACTTACTTTTTTTCTATACCAGATCATTGCTTTCTTTATTTTTATTTGTTTAATTTCCAAAATACACGATTTACCAAAAAAACGGTACCTCCAGGTACTCGGACTTTAAAGAGAAAAATTTCTCATTAGAGAATATTACTATTTTACTTATTATCATTAATATTATTATTTTACCTTATCTTTTGTTACGTGATCATGTTTAGGGATTGTAATAAATGAAATACTAAGTAAAAAAAATATTTTAACTTAAATATTTACCATATACGTAGTTTCTTTTAAAAAAAATAATGTAGCCATAACCTAGTGACAGGCACTGATCTTATCACTGATATGATTTAAAGATCTTACCAGAGTCCTTCCTATCTTGAAATTGCAGAACACAGGCAGTTACGAAATAATTTGCTAACACACTTTTATAAAGTAGAATTATATATTTATAAAGTGGAAGTATAATACTTTCGCGTTTCGTCTGGTGAGTGAGGTAGCCGGAGCCCAATTTTCAAAAGGTTGTCAACGCAAACCCGCGAGTGTAGCGGATGTCCATGGATCTTGTATCTTGTATTAACTGATGTTTTTGCTTTCAGTCCCGAGAATATTAAAGCTTCGTCTGACGCAGAACCGGTGGGCTAGCCAGAACCCACGGGTTTGGGTGATGTCCATGGGCGGTGGTATTCTCTTAACATCAGGTGAACCACCTGCTCGCTCGGCAACTTTTCACATAAAAAAATCACTGATTTATTTTTCATACGTCAAGACACTTATTATCACTGTCTATGTCTATGTTTACTTTTTTTTGTTAAGGAATTTCTATATCTATCAACTCCAAGAATAACCACAGATAAAAATATGCAATAACGATGACATTTTGACATTTTCAGTATTTGCGAATTCTAATTAAAAGAAAATTTATTCCTATAAACCGCTGGAACCCACGTTTTGATCGTGAGTGTAGGTACTAACTTTATATTCCTTGACTTTATCCGAATTTGACTTTACCTTTGACCACACTTTATATTCATTGGTCTCTTAAATAACAACAATTGTATTGTTTCAGTTTTCAGTTTGTATTGCTTAGACAATAATATTTCATCCAAATATGAAGTTAAACATACTTTGCATTGACTCCAAAAGTGCGTACTGTAGCCTTGTTTTCGCCAACATTCAAACTCTAGACATAACTATGCGCCCATTTCATCATTTGTTTCACTATTCATTGTGTATTACTTATTTATTATTAAAAAAGTTACTTAATATATTAACTGACAAGTAAAAAAAATTAAAGTAAATAAACGAATAAGTAACATAATAATCCACAATCAAACGTCATACACCTACTACTTTAATAAAAAAATTATCTGTTACTTATATGTATATATTATTTTTTTCAATCGCCAAAATTACCTATTATTGTTTAGAAATCAACTTTTCCTCGAAGTGACATAATAACTACAACGTGTCATAATGGTCATAACACATACAGTTACGGTCGTTGCAAAAGTGAGACTAATTTATTTGTTTGTACATTTTACGTATTTGGAAAAAGTGTCATGCAAATGAGCAATATGTATGAACCTTTAACATTAATATGTACATTTAAATTATGGTGACAGTTTTCAGTACTTAGATTATGGATTAATTGCTATAATGGTATTCAAGAAACGGTTTTACATACCTACTACCTAAAAGTCATCAAAAATTTTTACAGCATAATTCCATTGACAACGCATCAGGTGCCCCACCTGCATTATTAAAGAAACAGTACCCAGTAGTAGGAGGATCGATCTTTTGATCAGCACGATGTATTTTGGAAATTAAATAAAAATAAAGCAATGATCTGGTATAGAAAAAAAAGTAAACATAATAAGTGTGTAAATGATCGTGACATGAACCGCGGCCTTCTGTTCTGGGGCCGTCCGATTACGGACCGAGCTATTATAACATTTTTTTACGGCGAAATTTACCGTCATATTCGAATGATATTTTTCATTCCCTGAAAACAGGGATAAAAGGACATTTTCTAAAAATGAAACCTAGCTAGATCGATTTTTCGCCCCCGAATCTACGCACTTACTAAATTTCATGAAAATCACTGGAGCCGTTCCCGAGATTCCGATTATATATATACAAGAATTGCTCGTTTAAAGGTATTACATTCGCAAATATTCGTACTGAGATTTTGACGCCCAAAGATCTCTTCGCGCGTCGAATAAGAAGACGCAATACATCTGAATATAAAGTTAACAATCTGACAGTTTAAAGTTAGAACAAGATTGTAGTAGACGTTATGGACAACGTAGCGGGTAATGCTTTGAATTTAAATCAGCGAATGTCTTAATTGTAAAGCGTTGTGTAACCAAAAATATTCTTAATATTTTAATATATACGAAACACTGAATAAAAGATTAGGTTTAAAAGTATATTATCTTATTCCTAAATGATAAGCCACCTTAAATACGTCAAAATGGAATACCAAACGATGGATTCTTTATCCCGGGTTTACTATTTCAGTTTTAGGACGACTGTATTTTAAGCTCGTTTAGTTATTTTCAACGTGAGTTGATCATCACGTTGAAACTAACTAAACGTGTGTCATAAAAAATCTGGTAGCCGATGACGTTGCTAAGAGGTTTAATTAGCACATAGCTGTAGGCTGTATGCTTCCCTTATATGACAAAAATTTATGCACACAGTCTAGAGGTTTGTCTATAGACAATCAATATCAAAGCCTCAACCTTTACAATTGAACCCAATAAAGATTTTATAAGTAGATGTAAAATCGATGAGGATTTTGTGTCATTTCATTCATATTAGTCAATTACCTCAGATCTCTACCAATATTCAGCTCTATGCGAATTGTTGTCAAGAGAAATATTTATTTTGAACGGTGTCTATAGACCCTGGTCTTGCAAATACTAATCAATGCCTACTATTCAATTTTAAAAATTACTCATAAAAAAAGATGGAAGCCTTTTCATTGCCATTAATTTAATACATAGTTATTAGAATACATGAGTGACAATAAATTATCAAGATATTCTTGGAAGTAAATTATTCAAGTTCATCTTCAACAAAAATTTTTCGAAGAACCTACGTTCTGCACACAACTTAGAAATACCAATAGTGATGGTGAATTGTGATACGCGATTGGTGCGAAGTGATCGAAATTAACAAAAACTACTCAAACTTAACCGATATAACCTCCGCTGGGATTATGACAAGGGACATAATTTTAATGTCAAAAGTTGGCAAGCTAGCACGCAGTTCTCCTGATAATAAATGATTACCACCACCCATGGACATCTTATCTTATTGTAGATCCATATTATAATGTATATGAGGTTTGCAGATAAGTTTTATGCTCACCTGACGAAACCCATATACTTCTATTTCACGTCAGTCTTGTGTGAGACCGTGATACTTCCCCAAAGAGCCTGTCAATTCATGAAAATACACAGATTAATCTATAAAAAATAGTTTATTTGTTCTAAGTATGTAATTTTTGTGTTTTAACAGAATATGGGACCTCGGATGTGTTGGAGCAATTAAGGTGCTATGAGGTAGGACACGCGCAGGCACCATGCGGATTTCAAGACACGCTTCTGACTAGCCGACACGCCCTCACTGCACTATACGGCTTAGATTGAGGTGAGTTTTAAATCTGTCTTGTAATATTATTTTATATGCTGTTCCGTACGATTTCATCCGCGTCACTTTCTGATTTCTGCTTCGACTCCCATGTAATGTTAGCATGATGTTAAATACCCTATAGCCATCCTCAAGAAGTAGGCTATCAAATGCAAAATGATTTTTTTCAAATCCGAGAGTAGTTCCAGAGATTAGCGCATTCAAACAAACAAATAAACTCTCCAGCTTTATTAAATCAGTATATGAAACCTTTGGATCCCTTTTGTTAGTACATTTTGAGCAAGGAAGAAGAGTAAGTTAGAATAAGTACAGAAAGCTAAAATTAAGGTGCAACATGTGTAAAAATACATGAAATAAAATATAACATTAATTGTTTACATTCGTACTTTTAAAGTCAAACATTTACGCCCGGTTTCTGATGAGTGATCATCGTCGAAGTTAACTAATCAGCTGATTAGTTAACTTAGTATTTCAGATACCGCGCGTTAATATAATATTATCAAGCAGTTGCATAGAGAAAAGTCTATGTCAAAGAGATTTAAAATGTCAGGTTCAAAAAATAATTATAAATAATTTTTAATTTTATTGAATTTCGGTCGAATTTTGATTAACAAGCAAGTATACAACTAGTGAACATAAATATTGTTATAAACGATTAATATGTGAACATCTTCTGCATAGTCTTAGCTTCTGGCTAGATTTCAATTAATTTTTCAAAGTCTTATTTCTTAGACCTTTATAATATAACTAGCTGCTGCCCGCGACTACGTCTGCGTAGAATAGGCTGAAGGCGTAACATTCAGACAGAAAGACATATAAACATAAAATATGTATATAAATTACAGCCTATGTCTTATTCTGATGTATAAGCTATATTATTTTAAAGCTTGTATTTGCCTGAAAGATTAACAAACATCCATCTATACATACAAACTTTCGCCTTTATAATATTAGTAAGGATAATATTAATATTTTTGCTTACAATCTTTTTGATGTTTTTTCCTCTAAACACACAATTTTAATACAATAAGCAACGCAAACGAAGTCGTAGGTATCAGCTCGTTGCTTATTAAAGCTTATTTACTATTTACGATTCAAGTCGGCATTGTCCACCAGCTGCATTTAGAATATTTATTTTGGCTCTTTCGCTTACCGCACAGATTGAAAATAGTTTCATTGTGTAAATATAGTTTGAAAACCTATTTAAAGAATGGAAAGTTCTCGGGTTCACGTTAATACTCCTCATTATTAGAAAAAAAGTATGTGTGTACTTATGTAAGTACGTAAGAAGATAGACTTCTTTATCGTAAAGACATTAAATGAAATTGATAACGGTATATTTAAATAATTTATTTATTGGTAAACGTCAAAAAGTTGTTATTATTTGCCAAGATTAAGTTGGTTACCAAACATTATGAGGGTCGGTGTGCGCATCTTAAAAATTTTACTCTCACAATTTTTTCCAAAAGCGCCACCAACTTCACAAAACTAAGTAATTGATTTTATCGTGGTTAATTTTGATTTCTACTTAGATGTTAACGTCTTACCAAATGGTAATTAAAAATTAAATGGTAAGACGTTAACGGTCAAACTGAGGTTTTACTTCATATTTTCATAGAACCCAGACAGCTGTCACATTTTAATTAATTATTTTTGTCCTGTCTTTGCAGAATACAGTACCGTCAAATCTTGCAATGGAAGTGTGCTTTTATTTGATTTTAGAAATAATTATAAGCTAGTGATGGCGTAATGTCTTTCTGTGTTTCAAACATTTTGAGAATCATGAAAAAAAAATTTCCTTTACGATAACTTTTGTTTTATCGAATGTAATTCTAGAAAGAGCAGTCTTTTATGTCAACTGTGTAGACTTTCACAATTTTTTTTCTAGGCAAACATCAGACGTTTTATGATTTATTTCATGAATCAAATTAAAATACGGTTCAAGCATAGCAACTTTAAGTCGGAAGAAATATATATATTTTTATGTGAGGCGGAGGCCAAGCGGGCTGGCGGTTATGATGATGTGTCCGTAGGGTTGCAGATGTGTGACCACATTTTAATAAAATGTTCCCGGTTACCTCACTGACGAAATGCAAAAGTATAACATTTCCACTTCACGCTCGTATTCTGTGAAGTCGCGGTACTTCCCCTGTCGGACCAACCCATTCGTGCAACAGCGAACTGTAATACTAACAAATTCTTAAAGAAACGTTTATAACAAAAAATATATCTTGATTACATACTGTAATGAATTAATAACAGCTAAAAAAAGAACGTTCACTTGTAACTAGCATTTAAAGTTGAATAACGTCTTAATAGGATTTCCGTACAGCCGCTGTTCGCGTCCTGGTTAGTTATGAACATTTTTAAAATACTCACATTGCTTTATTTCATTTGATAGGATAGATAGTTAATCTTTATTTAGAATGTAATAATGACTTAAAAATAAACAGAATTTGGCACGATATCTTAATCATTTAGTGGTCTTATTTCAGTCATCCTGTTCTTGTTGCCAGCCACGATTTGAATCTCAGTTCTAGCACCAATCACGTGAATTCTTACATTATACGTCATTATGAATAAGCACCTTTTTACTCGACATGGACATGTGGCAATAGCCTCAAGAAATTGATTTCCTCTCCGCGGCAGTTAACGTGTAAAACCGTGATAGCTCAGTGTCCGGGCGCTAGTTTTAATTCAATATACTCGATGAGCCTCATGTTTGTTGATTGTAATGTTATCTGCTGATATATCACGTGCTCATAGGTGAAGGAAAACATCGTGAGGCTTCCTGGACAATTTCTAAATAATAATAATAATAAAACATTTTGAAGATAACTGAAGTCCGCCAACTGCAGTGGGATCTGCTGGACTATGCTGGCTATAAGAGGGCCTTTCCCCAGCAGCGGCACATAAATAGGCTGCTATTTTGCCTTACCTTACTTTATCCAGGTCGATCTTAAGTGCAGTTGCTCCTGCAGCAATGTAATCTTTGACCCCATTTATGTCGAGAGAAACTCACACGTTTGCGTGCCAAGGCCGTTTGACAGCTTGGTATTTTTAGAGCGAGAGTTAGGCGCAGCCCTTGCAAACTCGCCGCCTCAATGCATTGGTCACCAAAGATGAAGTTTTTTGTTAAAAGACGATTCAATGTTTTTCAATGCGTTTTGCAATCGAACAAGGAGTGAGTAGAAAAGATGAGGCGACGTTCTTATAACCAAATGTTTAAACTAGAGCTGCGAATAGGTGAATGCAAGCTTAAAGTAAAAAGTATGTACATATAAATAGAAAAACCAGCTAAATGCAGGTCAGACTGGCGCACGAACGGCGTTGTTGTTTGGGAGCCCAACTTCAATATTTTTTATTCTGTTTTTTAGTATTTATTGTTATAACGGCGACAGAAATACATCATCTGTGAAAATTTCAAATGTCTAACGATCACGGTTCATGAGATGCAGCCTGGTGACAGACGTACAGACAGACAGACAGCGGAGTCTTAGTAATAGGGTTCCGTTTTACCCGTCCCCGTCCCGTCTTTGGGTACGGAACCCTAAAAATTATTTTCATGACAAATTAATTTACGAACTTAACAAAATTATTACCTCTTTATTCATTTAGTAATTACCTCTACTTTGTATTCTATCTAGTTATACAAAACTAAGATTAAAAATATATTATGCATCTAAGTGATGCATAATATATTTAACCGGTTGTTCTATTCGACATCAGCGTATAATTATAAATAACTTTCCATATTCATATTGCTTGCATACAAAAGTATCTATAGATTTTTGTAAGCAACTGTAAGATTAAAAATACCCAACCAGAGGACAAATCTTACAAGTGATTGCGATTGCATCGATTCTCATCAATCATTGCGGGCCGTAGCATAACGAATGCCTGCTAATGACACGCCTTAATGACTATATTCAGATGCAACATTCAAAATCACATTTAATCCATCTGCAGGCACGATAATCTATAATACTTCATTCTCCTCACTCCGTTGACTCTTACTAAGAACAAAGCGCAGTTAAAATTCCACCGACCAAGTTATATCGCGACCATCAATCAACGGTCTAAATATAGATTGCACTCTTTAATATTACATGGTTTGCCTTTTACAGCTGTTTCTTGTAGGAAAGCGATACTTGCGATTGATTCAGTAAATAAATTCTAACTAAGTAAATATATGTCGTAAAATATTTTTAAGAAGTAAATGAAACGTAGGAAAGCAAACATAATGTTAAGAACTTTTTTTATGTGTCATGTTTATGTTGTTTCATGTTAGCGTCTTATTTCAAAAGAAAATCAAATCTGAATTATTATCTATTATGTATAATTATTAAGTATAATCTCGATGACTGTGATTTTCAACGACATTTCCCGATTCGTGAATATTTTCCTCAAATGTTACGTGAAATAGCAAAGAAATAAATATCAATCGTCCAATATTGCCCGATAATATAACATAAGAGCAACTATCTGAAGCAAACAGGAAAATAATGCATAAACAAAATTGACAATTGGCACAATTCTCCGTTCGGTTAGTCGCCCACTATCAAACATTCACTGCGCAAATGCGTTACAACTGTTCATGCTATACGTCAGCCACAATCACAATAAGGTTTACTTACCTACTTAGGTAGAAAGCTTGGTCTTTCATATTTCGTATTTCATGCTTAGTAAACACCCTATTGACAGACTTGCTCGATCATTCCATTGATATACTTTTTATTTATTATCTATTTATAAAAAGGTGAAAATAAAACAATAAAAACAAAAAAAATATTAGCTTTTGACCAGCTTCATAGTTACAAATAAACGAAATTGTGGAACAGTAAGTTTTTTCCATGCCTTACCATACATTGCCGTACCATAGTTGGTACCGAACTATTTTATATTGTAACAAGTACATATAAAAATGTATGGAGTCAAATGTAAATTAAACAGTGTACGAAAGACGTAAACAAACAAGTACATATTCTTTTAAATTCGAA